ACCACCATGTCTGGCTAACTTTTTCTATGTATTTTTAGTTGACCAGCTAATTTCTTTCTATTTTTTCAGTAGAGACGGGGTCTTGCTCTTGCCTAGGCTGGTCTCAAACTCCTGAACTCAAAACGATCTGCCTGCGTTGGCCTCCCAGAGTGCTAGGATTACAGGCTTGAGGCACCGCACCCAGCCTCTAAGATTCTTTATAAGTAGTGGAGTATTCTTTAATCAGGAGATCCGTAATGTTTACTTGTCTCCTTTGGGGATTAGGTAATGCTTTATTATTTTCCATAGAATTAAAACAACATTTAATACCATTTAATGGGATTTAAAATTTTACTTTTGATTGGTTGAGTTGTAAGAAAAAATAATTGATGTTTATGTTTTCAACGCCAGTCTATTTCTTTGTACAATAATTTTAGAGTAGCTTTACAATGTGTAGTCATATTTCTATTTTGAAAGCACTTGAAGACTTTTATTCCTAAGTAATTGCTTTATTCTTTAAATGAAATAGAATTTCCAAAAATATTCTATAGTACCCTACACAAAATTATGACTAAAATTATGTGTTCTATTATTATATCATAACATATCTCACATTTAAAATTTTTTATACATTAATTGGAAAAATTAGTCTTACTTCCTTGATCTAGAAGGTCATTGTTTACCATGTGATAAGATGAAAAGGAAGGAAAGGGCTAGAGATGTTTACAGATAGAGGACAACTGCGGTGGTTATAAAAGATAAAGTGCATGCTTATTGATCTTGATATAAAATATGTTACAAGCATAAAAATATTTCAAATTTTTTTTATATGTTAATGGTCCTAGTAAGCAAGGGTCCTTAAACATTAGATATTGTGTGATTTTACATTATTTTGTTAGCAGTTGCCATAAATTTCAATAATTCCTAATAGTGCCTATCATGTAATAATCACTGAAGAAATAAGTAAATGAAAAAAATAATTTAAAGCATCTCAAAGTAATGCTACTCAGTGGAAAGAGCAGTTTTTGAAGCTGCCCTTTGCTAGCAAATTGTTCCTTTATTTTTTCTTTCCCACCTAACGTATTTAGTTTCATTTTAATCTACATTAGAATGCAGAAGTCATTTTGGTACGTGAGTTTAAAAGAAATTCTGAAGACAATATATCATAAAATTTAATTATAAATCTTTGGCTTATTTAATATTAATGCTAGATGTATCTTGAACTTCCATTGTTTATAAGGGTAAAGTACGTAGAAATAATTCTGCTCTTCTGTTTACAGTTCTAGGCTTCTTTCTATGTAATACATTTGTAATTATTGCTTTCTATGTCTAAATAATGGAAAATAGAAAACTCTAGGTGAAAAATATGCTTCTTACTACTTACACAAATAGGGATTTTGTTTAATTTACATTAATGGCTAAGAGAATGTAATTTTCAACATCTTCATGAACATTTTACTACTAATAAATTTTTTAAATTTAAAATCTATAGAGATTGTACATAAACTAAAGAAAAATAGGCTGGGCGCGATGGCTCACGCCTGTAATCCTAGCACTCTGGGAGGCCGAGGCAGGCGGATCGTTTGAGCTCAGGAGTTCGAGACCAGCCTGAGCAAGAAGAGCGAGACCCCATCTCTACCAAAAATAGAAAGAAATTAATTGGACAGCTAAAAACATATATAGAAAAAATTAGCCGGGCATGGTGGCACATGCCTGTAGTCCCAGCTATTCGGGAGGCTGAGGCAGGAGGATCGCTTCAGCCCAGGAGTCTGAGGTTGCTGTGAGCTAGGCTGACGCCATGACACTCTAGCCCGGGCAACACAGTGAGACTCTGTCTCAAAAAAAAAAAAAGAAAGAAAAATAGATTATGAAATCAATTGTAATTGTGGTAAATTGCATTATCCTTTATGGTCAGGAAAATAGGCTGATTAAAATATTTTACCAAATATAGCAGATTCCTGGAGATTACACATCTGAGAGCTGTGGTGAACCATTTCAAGTTTTAGACCCTTTTAAGGATCAGTTGATAGCAGTGGATCTTTAACCTTAGAAGTATGTATATAGGAAATTAGTATTTAATTTTAGGTTCACGAGTATGCTGTAGTTCATTATCCATGGATCTTGGCATAGTAAGTAACACATGCTCCCTACTCAGGGTTTTGAATTGTTTCTCTTGCCAGAAGTGCTCTTCTCCTAGGTATCTATTATATGTGGCTCTTTTCCTTGCCTCCTTCTGATCACTTTTCACATGTCACCTGATCAAAGAGGCCTTCTCTGACTACTCTGTCTGGTTATTCTCTATGTGTTTATTCTGCTTTTCTTCTTTTTTTTCCTTAAAATTTTATGTTGATTTGGTTATTCCTTCTCTCCATGAGATTATTAGCTGCACTGTGTGGGGATGGGTATTGGCTCTCTTCAATGCTATCTCTCCAGTGCCTAAAACAGGCCTGTTTTATAGTAGGCATTTGATTTAAAACTTGTTGAATACGTGAATAAGGTACATTTATCACGAAGATTAATGGTTATGTTTGGATGATAGAAATTCCTTTTTTCCACTCACTTCCATATTTTCTATAGTAGGCCTATTATTTTATATATAATATTTGGCCAAACTGTACATAGTATTTTACTCTTGAGAGCATTCCTTTGAGAATTTTAAGCCTCCTCAACATCAGTTATTATAAGTGTACATAATTGTTAGATGTGGCCGGGTTTTCTTTAATAAATTACTAACCGTGCTGGATTTATTCAGTATTTCTGTTGAAGTTGGTTGAGTTAATGTTAGTGTCTTTTTATAGGTTTCATTGTTTGCAGAACTTTTTAATGAAATGCTTCAAAGAGATTTTGGTGTCAGAATATACAAATCATTACTATCTCTTCCTGAGAAAGAGGACAAAAAAGAAAAGGATAAGAAGAGCAAAAAGGATGACAGAAAAGATAAGAAAGAAGAAAGAGATGATGAAAACGATGATCCAAAACCCAAACGGAGAAAATCAGGCGATGATAAAGATAAAAAAGAAGATAGAGATGAACGGAAGGTCTCTGATTATTTTTGTGACTATTAACCTGATTTAGATGTTTTTAGTGAGTCTTCTAGATTGTAACAGAATGTTAGTTTCCATGAGAATAGTAAAATGTAATGAACAAACCGAAAGATTTTAGTGTATTATTAGAAATATAAATCATCGATTTAAGCCCATATAAACATCTGTAGCTAGTTTTCTAATCATTTGTTTTTGAAGTATGTTATTATAATTAAAAAGTTATAATGTGAAACTAACTTAACGGATTTGATGTTTTCTAGTTTTAGTCACTAGATGTTTGAGATTTCTTAATTTTAAGGCATTTTAAATTACAGAAAGAAGATAAAAGAAAAGATGATTCTAAAGATGACGATGAAACTGAAGAAGATAATAATCAAGATGAATATGATCCAATGGAAGCAGAAGAAGCTGAGGATGAAGAAGATGGTATAATTCAAATTTATTTATTACTCCTTAGGATTAAAAATAACATTTTGTTTGGTGACTTTATGTCCCTGAAATCTATAATTTTAATATTTTTT